CAGCGTCCACTTATACTGCTTCTCTTTACAAAGTGCTTTGACAAGTAATGAGGGGCCGTTCTATTCATGCATTTGAACGTCAAGACTGCATCGCGGTAGAAAAGATGGAGCTTGACAGGAAGCCAATGCAGTTCGTTCAACAATGGGGTGACGTGGTCGTATTTTCTTGAGTTTACAAAGTTTACTGCCTCTAGTTTACAAATACTACTTGCAGTAGTGTTCGACCATACAGTTGAACAGTAATACATTTTGCTGAATACCAAACTTTGGATGACTGTAATAAGCAAGTCTCTGCTTAAGGCATGCTTCACTCTGTTAAACTGCCTTAAACTTGACATATATGAAGAGGTTGTCTTAACAACATGCGATCCAAATGAAAGGTGTGGATCAAAAAGTAGACCAAGGTCTTTAGCTGATGGTACTGGTATCAGTTCCTTATCAAGCAAGGACAAACGGAAATCTGGGATTTTCGCGATCATTTGACGCCTCCCAAATAGCATAAGTTTTGTCTTAGGTGCATTAAGGAGAAGGCAGTTGTCAAAGCACAAGCTCTTATGATGTATACTTATTAGTTAAACCATGCATATATATGCTGGTAGCTGCAGTGATCAGGGGTGGAGGGAAGACTATCCTTTTCGGGGGGTGCAAGACAACTTTTTGCCGACAAAAGGGCGTGGCTAGCGAGCGGTTAGGGCGTGGTGTGATGTACAATGATTAACTCCGAGTAGTAAGATAATTTATTTTAATTTATTTTTAAAATAGGCGAAATAGTTCCGAAAAAAAATCGAAAAAGCACATCCATTCGTCATCAAACGACCGATTGCAAACTAAACACGTCAGTTTCTCTCTCTTCCGTTTGCGTTTTTGCTTGCTACTGTCCATACTTTTAAATCATCTCCGTATTTCTCATTGTATAAAAGACCGTTAGGTGTAATTTCTAGGAGCTTTACTGGCTTTACAAGATTATGAAATGAAGCGCAGACGCACACGCACATGTGCTTCGAATTTCCTAGCTATGGTATACTTCACAAAATTGCAAGAAATTATAATACTATTAAATAGCGTATTAGCGTAATAAGTTCTTGGCCAATTTAGCTGAATGTTCGGGCCGAGCTTTCAGTCGACATATCCATCTTTTCGATCTCGCATTTTCTACAAATTTTCTGCAATCTCTCTTCAATCAGGTATTGCCTATTGGCTTGATGCAATTTATTTTGCCGACAACTGATTTATTGTGCCGACGGACACGGCATTGGGCGGCACCCACCCCCCCCTTTAGCTACGCCCCTGGCAGTGATACAGACTGGCCGACTGGAACTTCTCCAGGTCCCCCGCTAAATATGTCCTCTCCAGTTACACATCCTTAAAAGAGGCCCTGAATTTTAATTGCACCATTTGAATAGCTATTGAGTTTTGTAACAGAGAATTATATGGCAACAGAAAAATAGAATGCTGGTATCTTTTGCATTTCTGAAAGGGTGGGTCCTAATTTTTCAGCACCAATTTAAGGGTGGGCCACAAATATTTGTGCAGCTATTAAGGGATGGGCTATCAAAAGTGCAGACACCAAATATATGATTTTCCCAGCCCCACCCCCCCACCCCCACCCCCCTTTTACTTTATGACCGATCCCTCAATACAACTCGAAGACGAAGTGAAAAAAATGGTTTTATTAATTTAGAACCGGTATAGATATACCGAAAAGCTCACATATATTATACAGATGTTTGATCGTATAGTAAGTGCTTGTTGGCTGCAAATTCATTTGTATTTCGTTACAAACTTTTCTGAACAATTTATATTCTCAATGAACATGTTTTTTCGCTGTTGTTTCGGTATTAATTCTTTAAAAAACTTGTATTTAAACTAATTTCTACGTAATAAATGTATTTTGCTAACCTGTCAAATTTTTTTTGAGAGTTTTTCCTTGTACTATTATCTTTCTCAAAGCGAATATTTTCCTTTTTTCTGCTTCGCAAAACTCATGTAGGTTTTGGACCGCCATCTTGTTTTTCGCTACTCGCCGTATATGAGCTGATATACGGCGAGTAATTCAACCAATCAGATTGCAGAACAGCTCATATACGGTGAATGACTATATTATAAATATATATATATTATAAATATATATATATTATAAATATATATATATATATATATATATATATATATATATATATATATATATATATATATATATATATATATATATATATATATATATATATATATATATATATATATATATATATATATATATATATATATATATATATATATATCTTAAGATTTTGGTTTACGAAACACAAACAGTGCTCAATACCATATAGATAGAGCGTAATATAGTTTTTCGTTTTACCTCAAAAAACCACGACAGTCTGTTTCATCCGTATAGGAACCACCTGATGATTCCTATACGGATGAAACAGACTGTCGTGGTTTTTTGAGGTAAAACGAAAAACTATATATATATATATATATATATATATATATATATATATATATATATATATATATATATATATATATATATATATATATATATATATATATATATATATATAGTTTTCCGTTTTACCTCAAAAAGCCACAACAGTCTGTTTCATCCGTATAGGAATCATCAGGTGGTCTATATATATATATATATATATATATATATATATATATATATATATATATATATATATATATATATATATATATATATATATATATATGTTTGTGTATGTATATGCATGTATATGTATGTATATGTATGTATATGTGTGTGTATATGTATGTGTATGTGTATGTATATGTATATATGTATATATGTGTATGTATATATGTATATATGTGTATGTATATGTGTGTGTGTATATATATATATATATATATATATATATATATATATATATATATATATATATATATATATATATATATATATATATATATGTTAATTGTGTTATTGTACACTCTGTAACATGTTAAGATGAAAATGTATGTTAATTCGAAGGTCGCGGGTTCAAGACCCAGCCGCGGCAGACAACATCTTCCTGTTTGCGCTGGGTATGGAAATTATATAATACACACTCATATTTTCATCTTAATATATATATATATATATATATATATATATATATATATATATATATATATATATATATATTCGCAATCCAGCGTGAGATACTACCACCTACCATAGATCCACCGTGGAATATTATAGTATACCACACTCACGCGTGACGCGTGGACACCACGCTCTGAAACAATATGGCGTTCGCGAGCTGTTGTTTCACTCGTTTGTATAAATTTCGTACAGAACTATACAGGGCTTATACAGAAGATTTATTAAGTTAACCAAAGATTTTCAACACGTATGTTACCTTCAACGATCCAAAGGATACTTGCTCAAATATTTTAAAGAGAAAACGTCAAAAACTAGTCAGGCATGCATAAGAAATTAAAAATTATATTCGCTTCAGGTTTTAAAGTTTATTCTGAACTTGGTGGTTTCTTTAACTTTCGGTATAATATATCATTTATAGACCCTCCGCTCGGGGGATTCGGCGGAATATTACCCTCAGTGATGATATTTTCCTCGGGGCAAAGCCCCTCGGAAAATATCATCACTTCAGGTAATATTCCGCCGAATCCCCTTCGCTCCGGGTCTATAAATGATAAATATATACAGCAAGACTAATTATATTGAAAATTATAATTTAATTTGTTATTAGTAAAATATCTGCATGCGAATGGTTTTTGGTGGAAAAGAAGGAATACATTGGTATTTTTTGTTTCAGTCTTCGACCAAATGTGTACCACGCTACTAATATGCATTTCAAATCATGCATTTCTTGTTCGTTTCAAGTATAAATGCCATATATATATATATATATATATATATATATATATATATATATATACTATAAACTTTTTATTAACCTCGTTTGCTCGGTATGCAGTACAGAGAAATATCGGACCTCTGTCTTTTCGTGGAGACCTCGCCCTAGGGGCTCGGTCTGTACAAAAAAGACCTCAGTCCGATATTTCTCTGTACAGACCTCTTGTTCGGTTAATAAGAAGTTAATAATGCATCCAAACCGCGCAAGCAGAAAATTAATTCTGCCTGAATATTCGCTGATTTTAAACCGAGCCGCGGTGTATACATATTCAATTTTCTAATATATATTTCAATTTTCTAGATAATTGGCGTTCGAAGTCTAGTATCTGGACAATATTCTGAGTAAGGATCAGAAGATCATAATATCACATTCACAAGAAATATTATATCATGATACAGGTTTTTATTTTTTGCCTTTTATCAAATTATCAAATTCTAAAAGACAAACTTAACCTGTGGTTTAGAATGCATTTAGCTACAAGTTTTACTAGTATTCAGTTATAAAACACGTACCTATATTAATATGTTTTCAAATACTACAAATAATTAATCAAAACTACTGAGTAAAACGTCATGAAGATATTTGAGATATAGGTGCCTTCGTATATGGAGGGGAGTTATAGAGAAAAAATATCATGATGTCATTATATCATTCCATTATCTTGATCGTGATGCAATAACATCATGTGACACTATCATGTCATTATGTCGTGTTATCATGTCATTATGTCGTGTTATCATGTCATTATGTCGTGTTATTATGTCATTATTGTTTTGGAACATGAACCCGTTCGTATATATACTTTATTAAACTGAACCCTATTCCTAAGTACACAAGCTACTATATACCTGTGGTACGCCCACAGTCTGCATTGCTAATTACTATTTACTGAATTACAATATTCTAATTATAACATCTCCCTCCTTAAAGAAAGTAATATATATTTTTTTTGTGTTCTTTTTGTACTTTGTCCTCTGTATCTACGATTCTAATAAATAACTACTAAAGTCTCTAACCTAAAGGTTCATAACACAAATATTTATATATATGTGTCCAATGTCATTATTATCAAATATAGTTAATTAAATATGTTTCAATATCTCTGGAAAATTGTCAATATTCCTCAATGTACCGTTTTGGTTTCCTTATAACACGTCCGCTTGAGGTATGGCTTGGCGTATTCTGTAACGTTCTTTCTGGATTTCTTCGATCTGCCAATCTTGTTGACAATTCGCTTGTTTCTGGATTGATCTCAGGAACAACTTCAGGAATCGCTTGAAAAATGTCGTCAGAAACTGCTTTAGGAACAGCCTGAAGATGTCGTCTATTTCTCCGCATCTTTTTCCCCTCTGGAGTGTCCACAATGTATGATCTTGGTGTAGATCCATATCCACTGACAACTCCAACAGGGCTCCATTTCTTCTGATTATCGGTTTTCACCCGAACAGTTTGACCTGGTTCCAAATCAGATAAGGACTTCACACCATGCCTCTTGTTATAAGCATGACTATATCTTTCTTTCGATTCCTTGTCTACTTCGCGTACAGTCGGAAGATCTGGCCAGGCTGGTAACAGATTACGACTAAGTGTTGGAATAGTTGTGCGAATCTGTCTTCCCATGATCAATTGACTAGGACTTACACCTGTCGCTGGAATTGGAGTTGCTCGATACACCATCAACGCGAGGAACGGATCCGTTTGCTTCAAGATTCGCTTGGCTATCTTGACAGCACTTTCCGCTTCTCCGTTTGCCTGCGGATAATGTGGACTAGACGAAACATGGAGAAACCCATACTGAACGCTAAACGATCTAAAATCCTCTGAGAAAAATGGTGGACCATTGTCACTTATTAGGATTTCAGGAACTCCCCATCTTGCGAAAATGCTCTTCAACTTAGCTATCACCGTCCTGCTTGTTAAATCTGGTACATAAACAAGCTAAAGATACCGGGAGTAATAATCTACTACGACCAAATACTTCTTTCCGTCTAATTCAAGTGCATCGACCGCTACTTTCTGCCAAGGAAGGGTAACGGTGTTGGTTTCAATGGCTCTCTTCTTTGTGATGGTTGGTTAATTTGGCAAAACTCCTCTGGTGAAACCTCCTCTTTAATGTCCTTGGAAATATCAGGCCACCAAACGGAGGAATTCGCACGTGCCAAGCATTTCGTCACCCCAAGATGACCATCATGAATCCTCTGAAGCATTTCCATTCTCATTGACGCTGGAATGACTATTTGATCACGATAAATTAATTTCCCTTCGACGCACGAAAGTTCACCACGATAAGGAAAGAAACATCGTACTTCTTCAGGAACCTGCGTCTGATACTTTGGCCAGCCACTTAGAACTAACTTGGTTACTTTTTGAAGCACTTGATCTTCTTTAGTTGCGTTCTCTATTAACTGAATCTTCTCTTTCGACGCTGGTCTACTCGACTCAACTACGTTTAGGAACATTTGAACTTCATCATCAAGGTTGTCGCTGACATTGGTATTGGAGATCAACGGACTTCGAGACAGAGCATCGGCAAGAACAAGATCTTTCCCAGGAATGTGAACAGAGATGACGTTAAATCTACGCAGACGCATCAATAGGCGTTGACAACGGATCGGAACTTTGTCTAGGGTTTGCTGATTTATCAACGGTACGAGAGGCTTATGGTCTGTTCGCAATTCAAATACGGGAAGGCCAGACAAATAACGATAGAACTTCTCACAGGTCCAAACTGCTGCAAGGCATTCCTTCTCAATTTGCGCGTAATTCTGTTCCGTTTGTGTTAAAGTCCGAGAACAAAATGCAACCGGTCGTAAAGATTTATCATCTCCTTCTTGAAGTAACACACCACCGAGTCCGTAACTACTGGCATCAGAACTGACTACCGTCTTACGATTCGGGTTGTAAAATGCTAACGCCGGAGCAGAAGATATCAGCTGCTTCACCTTCTCGAAAGTTTCTGCTTGGGACGGGCCCCAAACCCATGTGGAACTTCCTTTTAGAAGATCATTTAAAGGCTGTAATACCGTCGACAGATCTGGCAAAAACTTCCCCAAGTAGTTGATCATACCCAACAATCTTCGTAATTCAGACACACTGGTTGGAGGCGATAACTCGACGATGGCTCGCACTTTTTCAGGGTCGGGTTTAACGCCATTTTTACCCACGCGATGACCAAAATATCCCAGTTCTTCTTTGCGGAATTCGCATTTCGATTTGTTCAACTTGAGTCCAGAACTTTGTACGGTATTCAGGACTTCTTCCAAATTAGAGTCATGTTCCTCAACCGATTTCCCATATACCAAAATGTCATCCATAATCACTTTGGTACCAGGTTTCCCCTGAAGTAGATCGGTCATCAATCTTTGGAAAATTTCCGGAGCGGAGGATATCCCAAAGGGCAGTCTTCGAAAACGGAATCGACCAAACGGGGTAATGAAGGTCGTCAATTTAGAGCTTTCAGGATGTAGAGGGATCTGCCAAAATCCACTAGCAGCATCTAATTTTGAGAACACTTCGGATCCATGAAGTGAAGGCGCAATATCATCTAAACTGGGCAAAACATATCTTTCACGTTTAACAGCCTCGTTTAGTTTCTTCAAATCAACACAAATTCGTACTTGACCATTCTTCTTTGGGACTGGGACGATAGGGGCACACCACTCAGTTGGCTCTGTCACCTCTTCAATGATCCCTTCGTCTTTCATTCTTTTCAACTCGGCTTCCACCAATGGCAGTAGAGGAAAGGGTATACGCCTCGGGGTACTCACACTGTAAGGTTTAGCATTATCGTGTAAATGTATCTTGACGGGTTCACATTTCAAGAGCCCTATATCTCCAAATACGCTGTGATCAGTAATTTCATGCACCCTTTTAACCAAACCCATTTGAGTGGAAAGTTCTCGACCCAGCAAACAGTTCACATTTTCTCCCCGAACAACAAAAATACGAACTGAATATTCCACCAATTTATATGATAAAATTGCAGTAATTTCACCAATACATGCAATTATTCCCCCAGGACCTTGAAGGACAGCTGTTGTTGATTGAAGGGGTGGACGTGGTACTAAATTACTGTAAATGGCTTCTGGTATGACTGTTATATCAGCTCCGGTATCTATCTTAAATTTAGTTGGTTGCCCATTCAACTTAAGGTCAACTTGCCAGGGATCTTTGTCCCGGTTACATGACATAACGGAACCCAAAAAGAAAGTTTCGTCCCACTCTCGGACAAGCTCGTCCGACTTCTTTGAAATTTCACCAACAGCTTTCCTTTGTACAGTTTTAGTTCTACACACAGCGGCAAAATGCCCTATCTTAGAACATTTTCTACATTTCTTACCTCTTGCAGGACATTGTGACTCATTAACATGCTTTCTATTGCACCTACCACACCGCTGTTGTTGTTGAAATGATAACGTCTGTCTTTTGTTCCAATCACCTCGGCGATAATTCCTTTGTCGTTGCACTTCGTCAATCTGCTTTGTCTCTAATGACTCACGCTCGATCAATTGGCTTTTAACTAACTCCGATTGTCTTGCTATTTCTACCGCCGATTGTAGATCCAAACCGGCTTTCATCTGTAACCTTTGCGACACGTTTTTATCTAATAGTCCAATAACTATCCGATCTCGAACTTGTTCGTCTCGTGCATCGGCAAAATAAACAGTTCTCTGCCAATTCATACAGGCTTCGGATGAACGCTTCAACAGTTTCTCCTGCATGCTGTCGGCGTTGATAAAACCGGGCTCGCTCGTGAATTACATTTCGTTTCGGGACAAAATAGGCATCAAATTGTGCTAGAACTGTCTCATATTCTTCTTCTTCGCCTTTCTCAAGTCTAAAGGTTTTATAGACGTGTTCTGCCTGCTTTCCCATCGAGTATATAAGCGTGCTGACTTGAATTTCATTGTCTTCTTTGTTTAACTTCGTCGCTATTCTATAACGCTTAAAGCGCTGTTTCCATTCAGGCCACAGTTGTGGCTTAGCAAATTCGAAGTTTTCAGGCGCGTTTATCTTCAACATATTGAATATCCCACACCTGCATGACACCATGTTTTGAAACATGAACCCGTTCGTATATATACTTTTATTATTAAACTGAAAACCCTATTCCTATATATAAGCACACAAGCTATTGTATACCTGTGGTACGCCCACAGTCTGCATTGCTAATTACTATTTACTGAATTACAATATTCTAATTATAACATGCACAAATTTATGGACTAAAATGTTTCAATTATAGTCTCGGGATCTATTGGGGACCTGTTTATATGATCTAGGCTATCCAGAACACATGCTTGAAGCCTATCATGTTGCCTGTTTGGGATACAGTGCTTATTGTATATGGTGAATTTCTTGGCTTACATGCATATAGCCAAGATTCTGGCAATGGAAACGTCATGCTTAGCCAGGCCGATAGTAGCAGGATAGGATAGGACATACTGGCAAATGTCGTCTCCCACCTAGCCAGGTAATATGAACAGGGCCCAATTGTGACTAGTGAGCCAGATGAAGTAAAAACAATTAAGTTCATATGCATGTCCATAAATTTTGATACCTGAACAGCAACATTAAACAAAATCATTCTGTCCCAAAGTCATCCATATTCCTTAACATGTTAGATTTAGATGTCATTTGCATTTATACTTGTAAATGACAATGTACTTTAATGTGCTACTACTGTAGTAGTTTAATTTTTACAGCTGCATGAACAAAATGACAAAGTACACTATTAGTATTAATTTATGAGTCCGAAATCATTGATCAAAATGATGTTATACTTATGCACGTAATGAACTTTACTTCATCACTTTATCATAATTAATTCACTGTCAAGGAATTAGTCACTTGGAAAACATTTACCAAAGTAGCTCTGAATCTGACGCCTTCTCTGGCTCACTGTCAAATTCGGATTCCCCAATGCTTAAGTCACTGCCAGAGTCAATCAGAGTCATCTTCCCGTTCAGGAAGATTCATAGCCGCTGACCATTTGATAGGAAATTCAAGATGGCGACGAGAAAACAAAGAATGTTTATATTGTCGCTTTTTCGACAGCAACTTAAGAAAGCAAGCTATGTTTGGTACTATGTATTATTGATCTTATTGATCTTCCAAAATAAGTGATGTTTCGCTTGAATCCCAATAGAAACATAACAAACATCGTGTTGGTTCGCTTGTACGTTTGCATATAAAATTTTTCTTGTGACCAGACGAAAAGTAGCCGGCGGTAAACGTTCAAGTAGCCCGGCGGTAAGTAGCCTGTTCTGATAGTATACAGTCCCCACGAAGCGCAACTGTCTTGCGGTGTAAGACAGAAAAGTGCAACACTTGGTCCATGCGAACCGGATAGATTTCGAAAGAAAGAATCGAGATAGATAGATACGACAATGCCGTTGGACGAGCTGACAAAGAAAAGAAGAACACGCGCAGCGCACAGAGGTTCAGCAACGAAGATAGGGACGAAGATAAAAGAATGTTTAGCGAATACGAGTGAAACGCCTCAAACGGACAAGAATGTGATGAAACAGCTGAGAGACACGCTGAGCGAGAAACTCGAAGCCTTGAAACTTTTAGATAACGAGATTGTCGAGGTACTAAGTAATAGTGAAGCCGAAGACGCAGAACAACAGCTGGAAAAAGAAATTCAGGAGACAGATGATACGCGAGCTGAATTACAAAAAATAATTCTCGACGTGAATGACGCATTGTTCGAAGCCTTGCCGTCACTACCACAAGGTCAAAGTACACCATCGAATCTGAGTATGAACGCTACACCAAAACAGACTGTTCGCGCAAAGCTCCCAAAGTTAGAGGTGAAAAGATTTAATGGGAAAATTCAAGAGTGGCAAGAATTTTGGGACTCCTTTGATAGTTCTGTAAATCAGAATGACGCTCTATCAGAGGTAGATAAATTCGCGTATTTGAAAGGTCTACTGGTTGGTCCCGCGCAGACAACTATCGCAGGGTTCACGTTGACAGCAACGAACTATAAAGAAGCATTAGAACTCCTGAAGACACGATATGGGAAGAAAACGGCGATACAGAGAGCTCATATTCAAGCGTTAATGAACATAAAGCCAGTATACAACGAGCGAGATGTGCGTCGACTACGGGAATTGTACCATGCCTGTGAGACAAACTGCCGAGGTCTGAAAACCCTGGGAGTGGACGAAAGTTCGTATGCTACGATTGTTGTTCCGGAAATACTCGACAAGCTGCCGGAATCCCTTCGTTTGACGATAACTCGTGGGGCAAGTGGATCAGACTTTCTAAGTTGGACGATGAAGGATATTTTAAAAGCACTGCTAGATGAAATTGAATTACGCGAAGCACACGAATCATCTTCGACGAACACGTCAAAACAAGAACGAAGGAAACCACAGTTTCTAGATGGATCGGCGGCTGCTCTTGTGAATCATACCACCAGGGAAGGGAAGCCAAGATGCGTATATTGTTTACAAGAACATTTATCACAAGATTGTAAGAAAATTCAGAATGCTGGTGAGCGTAAACAGATACTTCGTAAGTACGGACGGTGTTTTGTATGTTTAAAAAGAGGACATATTAGTAGTAATTGTTTAAATACCAGTAAATGTAGTGCATGCAGTAAACGACATCATAGTTCTATTTGTGAGAGCCATGCTAATGGGTCTATAACCGCTGACGTCGTTCATTCCACACATTCGTGCGTTGGGTCAGCAAATAGAGTAGCATTGCAGACAGCTCAGGCTTTGGTGATTGGAGGAAAGGAGAATGTGAGAGTGCGGGTTATGTTTGACTCAGGAAGTCAACGGTCATTCGTTACGGGCAAGGTAGCTCAGAAGGCAGGAGTGCCAGTAAAGAGGAAGGAATGGGTAGAAATTAGAACGTTCGGACAGGAGAAAGTTGAAGGGAAGTTGAGAGAAGTGTTTGAATTGAGTGTAGCCCCAGTACAGGGGGGAGAGAGTGTTAGCATTGAAGTTTATGGAGTAGACAGCATTTCACAGATTAGGAATGAGCATGTAGAGACAAGGAAGAAAGATTACCCACATTTGCAAGGGTTATGGTTTTCCGATGTTTGTAAGACCAAGAATGTGTTAGAAATAGAGTTACTAATTGGCGCAGATTATTTGTGGTTATTTCAAGAAGGGCGTACGGTTAGGGGCAAGAGTGATGAACCTGTTGCGGTACAAACCAAATTAGGATGGGTGTTGTCAGGTCCACTGAAGAGTGGCTCTGAAGATGATGATGGTCCTACATCGTGTGCACAGGTAAGTGTAAACCTTATTGGGCATGTAACTAAATCTAAGAATAGGTCCCTTCAAGCATGTGTTGAAAAATTATGGGATTATGAAACGTTAGGTATAAAGCATGAAGAGGAAGCTAGTGAGTTATTAAATGATTCACTACATTTCAATGGCCAACGATATAGTGTAAGTTTACCTTGGAAGGAAGGGCATAGTTTATTGCCAACTAATTATAGCTGTAGTGTGCAGAGATTAAAGGGACAGCTTTTAAGATTAAAGAAGGAGCCAGAAGTTTTACAAGAGTATGATAGAGTAATTAAAGAACAGTTAGAGCTGGGTATTATAGAACCAGTTGTAGAGTTAGAGAGAGCTGATAAGATCCATTATCTACCACATCATGCTGTGGTTCGTAAAGATGCAAAGACCACTAAGGTCAGGGTTGTGTATGATGCATCGAGTAAAGAGACTAAGAAGGGTGTATCTTTAAATGACTGCTTACATGTTGGGCCACCTCTATCCCCGTTGTTGTATCACATTATATTGCGTTTTAGAGAAAAGCGAATCGCGCTTGTAGCAGATATAGAGAAGGCTTTTTTAAATATTGAAAT